ATTTATCGCGTCAAATTAATGAACAACACAATCTTCTAAAGCAAAAACAAGATAATCTAACTGATTTACAAGATTAAGTCAATCAAAAACGATTAGAACTGAATAAAATTCAAGAGAAATATCATTCTCATAAAGAACAATTTGATAGCACTCGACTAGCATTAAAAAATAGTGATCAACAGATAAACTGTATTGATATTCATAAACGTCAGCTCGATCATAGTATGGAACGAAAGGTTAATGAAACAAAACCTATCCCGGAAGCTTTTGATAAGAAGAAAATCGAAATTGATAATAGGAAAGAAAATTTGAAACATGTAACACATGCTTATGATGAGAAAAATAGAGTATACAACGTCAGGTACAGAAACAAGAATAATGTCGTTAGTAAAATTGATCATCATCGGAGGGCTCAAGCCGAAGCAGATAGAAATTTTCAAGCAAAAAACGATCGATTAACAGCACAACTTAGAAACATTCGACGCTTGGAAGATCGTCTTCGTGATTTGAATATGATGATAATACAAAATTTACCTTATGAACGAATGAATTATGATGTGGTACAAGAAGTAACAGAACTCAATAAATCGAAAACTCATAAATTTGAACAAGATGAACACGAGTTATATGATGATTTGACTGAAAGACAATTAGCACATAATTCATAAAAGTTTATTTAATATTTCATCTTTCTTTTTCAAATTGGAAAGTTTATCGACTTTTTTATTTGTTTATCTGTAAATCTGAAATATAGTTTTTAATTAGATATGTATATAATCTTATAAATATTTCTATTTTTAATGAATGTTTAAGACTTTGATTGTTATATCCACTTCAAAACTGCTTCATATTGATTGTATTGTCATTTTTTTGTACAAATTTCAAGTCTCTTATTCGTTTTAGGGAGATAATTATATTTATTTGTTAGCCAAATCATCTCTCTCTCTCTCTCTGTCGATTGATGTGTTTTGCATGAGAAGAAGTTTCGTTAGAGTATCAGAATTAAAGCAAATCTGGAAAATAATCCCTATTTGTTATTGTGATTGATTTGGTAAATTCTCAGTTGTGCTCGCCGTCGATGATATTATTTGCACTTCAGTGCGAGTATTTCGTCGATATCGGCATAGTGTAATTTGTTTCATTATTAATCGATAGATCAGCTCACAAAATTCCATTAAACTTAATGTACTAAGACCAATCCACCTACAATTAACTCATCATACTAGAATAATGTCAAATATAAGAAGCTCTTACTTACAATCCAGTTTGTCCTCCAATAGCTGAAAATGTATCAACGAACGTTAGTTTAGCTTTTTGTTTATTTATTGTCACATATGGACTAGCACATGTTACAGTCACTCGTAAATAATTGGCATCCATATAAGCATCATAATTCGTAGCAAAGTCATTCGGCAAGGATAGATTTAAATTATTTTCTAGTAAAATCTTTTTCAAAGATGCTTTTTGATGAGTAGTTGGTGCCAGTAATGCACTAACATCGATCGAAAATTGTGTATGTTTACATTGTGGAGCACATCGAGAACACCAAATAGCCATAAGAGATGCATTTTCAGCTATTTTTTGCCGTGCAGTCAATGCACATTCTTCTTCAGTCGTATTCGGCATACAAGTATTGGTAAAGTGAAGTCCATTATCATCTAATGAGAAGACATGTCGCATAAGAAATGGAATAGGTAAAATGCAAAAACATCGTGAGAAAATGTAAGCTTGTTCACATAATTCGTAGCATAAAGCTTCGGAATAGGCCACTTGATGAGCCAAATACGGATCGTAGATAACCTCATAGATATGACGCAAATTATCTCCAACTACAGTTGTACAATTTGTATAAGGTTTAGGAAGAAAAAATGTTTGACTTTTTCGATATGTTATTGTATGAGCGAGACCAGGTCGTAATCGTATACTGTTTTTAGCCAAGTATGGAAGTTCATTGTTGTCATGTAAGAATAAAATAAGACCATCCTCGAAAAACATCCATGGAAAACTAAGATGACTCGGTATGTAAAAAGTCATTGATAAGCCTTCGCGTAGTATCAATGTCGAACCAAGATCAGCTAAGGTATATACTTTATTCGTAGATATGTTCCAATTAAATGTAAAACAATTACCATAGACAGCTGATAGTGAATGAACGAATTTCGATGCACAGTTAATACCGTTATACGAGCATGTAAGTAACATGTCCGATAGTTGAAATCCAAGTTTTTCGAATTCATCAGACTTGTTTCGATTGAACATACTAACGAGCATGGGAAAAGCTAATGATTCAGGAGTCGATTCATTGAGATTGATATGCATCTCATCGGCATAAGCTTCTACCGCTACGTCCATTCGATCTTTCCTATATGGATTGGCGTTACATACAGTCACAGCTGCAAATGGCATATCACGTATAGGTACAATATCGACGCTCATCTGTGTAGGAAAAGCAAGATATTGCAATAGTTCCATGAAGATAAAATAAGACATGAAGCCGAACATAATTACAAAAGTGACAATCCAAAATGCTCGATACAATTTATTGTGAGCAATGCCGATATTGCGTAAGCCATGTGTTGCAGTAGTGATTAAATAACTGACCAGGATCGATCGCCGACGATGTTCAAGGTACGGACGCTGCTTAGAATTGTCTATATCGTTTTCCATGGAATGTCGAAAGTAGCTTATTTGGAATCTTGATTCTAATCGTATATGAGCCTAAATAGTATTCAAAAGTGTTGACTTCTTTCAGTAGATCGATCATATGAATGAGAAATCTTTCTGATAGGATTACTTAAAAATTCAAACACAAAAAAATTATTGATAAATAAAAATATTTTAATGTATTGATTTTGTAATCAAAAATCAACACTATACTTTAAGTACTTTTATTGACAGTCTGTGATAGAAGCAGAATAAGAAGAATAATTATCATGCTTCTAGTAATTATTACTAAAATAGAATATGAATAAATAAAACTCTCACTGATGATAATCTGAATGTACTGGT